TCTCTTGCATTTCCATATGAATTTAGTATCAGCTTGTCCACTTCTGCAAAAAAAGGCAGTTGGAAATTTGATAGAGAATTGCATTGAATTCTGATTGAGAATGTAGATCAATCAAGGTAGTACTGCCCTCTTAACAATATTGAGTCTTCCCAATCCATGAACACAGTATGTCTTTCCATTTACTTAAGTCTTGTTTAATTTCCTTCAGTGTTCTATAGTTTACAGTACAGAAGCCTTGCACTTCTTTGGTTTAATTTATTCTTAGTATTTATTCTTTTTGATGCTATTGTTAATGCAGTTGCTTTCTTAATTTCATTTTCAGATTATTCATTGCTAGTGTATAGAAACACAACTGATTTTTCTATCTTGATCTTGTGTCCTGGAACCTTGCTGAGCTTTAATAGTTCTAATAGTTTTTTGAGGATTCTTCACAGGTTTTTACATATCATCTGCAAAGAGAGATAATTTTACTTCTTCCTTCCTTTTATCTCTTTGTCTTACTGAATTACCCCAGCTAGAACTTCGCTAGAAGTCTCAAATAGATGTGGTGAGAGTGGATATCCTTGTCTTATTCCTGATCTTAGGGAGAAAACTTCCAGTCTTTCACCATTAGGTATGATGTTCGCTACGGGTTTTTCATAGATGCTCTTGAACGGGTTGAGAAACCTTTCCTGTATTTCTAGTTTGTTCAGTGCTTTATCATGAAAGGTTTTTGGATTGTAGAAATGTGTTTTAATGAAGAGATGGGTAGATTTTATTGTGAGTTGAGTTGTACTGTCAGTGTCAGGAAATACGTTTTGTTGAAGTGTGTTTCCAACTCTCTACAAGATAACTAATCGGGTTGAAGCCATAGAATTGCTTGTTGATGCTTTTACGGTTCATCAATTGATGTACATTTAATGGTTTCTAAGACTATCAAACCGATTCTCTTCATTACCTCAAGTTAATTTGAGTTTGTGTTCACTTGCCTGAAGATACAGAGACGCACAGACACAAGAAAGATAATGTGTTTCTGTTGGTTGGGTTTTTTTAATGCCTTTTTATTACCTGACCTTGTGCTTCTCATACTCAGATAGTCCAGGAATGGTGGCAGGATGCCAGGGGGTGGAGAGAGGCGGGCTCCATCCCCATAAACAGTCCTTGCTGTTGCGTGCAGTTCTCTTCCGCCTGTCTTGGGGGTACCTTGGTAGAAAAGCTCAAGAAGCAAGGAGCCTCTCTGCACTCCCGGGGACTGGATTTCCTAGCGTGTGTTAAGTCCACATCCTTTCATAGTACTTACAGGAAGTGCAAGAATCACTGAATTACTGGGACGGGGAGGGAGTCCTCTCCAAAACAAGACTTGATAGTTAATTAACCTGTGGCATTGCTGTAGGAAAGTTATTTATTTATTTATTTAAATCATTTGTGTGCACATAGTAGGAGGGTTTGCCTAACAAGTATCACTGCTGTGCTGGGCCCTGCGGGGCCCACAGAGGTGACTGTCAGCTGGCCTCACCCTGGCAGGTACCCTTTGAAAAACCCATTCCGTTCTGTGCAAAAGATTCATTTTGTTATTGGTTTAACCTGAGGGTCCTTTTCACAAATACTAAGCCCAGATTTTTTTAAACGTAATCCCTCACCGTGAATATAATCATTATGAAATTCCTCTAGGAAATTATGTCAGTAAAATAATTGAAGGAAAGCTCAATATTATCTGTAAACAACGCTTCCCCAAATGGTTTGGAAGATCACTTACAAGGTCGCGTTTTGCAGTCTGACTAACTTTTAATGGGTAGAGCTCCACTGGCATTTTTTTTTTTTTTTTTTACGAGTCATATTGCTAATGTGGTATTTGACTGAATACTTAACAGCTGTCTACTTTTGTACATATGCCCCAAAGGCCTTTGGTTACTGACTACAGTTTTAATAAATCTCATGAGTATGTTGGGTGAATGTTAATAATCTTCAGTACAAATGTGGACATCAGACCCGATGGAGTTACGATCCAGGATTTTGGACACCCTACTTTTGTAGTGTTATTTACTAAAAATGTTTAGGAAAAAAAGTTTCAAAGAGAGGTGTTCTTTGCTACAAATGTATTCAGTACTATTCATAGCAACCATTCTTAGGAATAGTAGAATTCCCAATTGCTAGTCACTGAATACTTTAATAATGACTATCGTTCCTTATATTTACAGGGTAATGAGAATTATGGCAGCTTTTTCATAAAATGTAATGTACTAATGTCTTAACCATTCTTTTATTTTTACTTACTACTTTTATTAAGTATTCTGAAAGTAAATCTCTGACCCTAGTTGGTCATCCTAAAAAACAAAATTTGCTGGGGCACCTGGGTGGCTCAGTTGGTTAAGCGTCCGGCTTCAGTTCAGGTCATGATCTCACTGTTCATGAGTTCGAGCCCCACATCAGGCTCTGTGCTGACAGCTCAGGGCCTGGACCCTGCTTCAGATTCTGTGTGTCTCTCTCTCTCTGCCCCTCCCCTGCTCACACTCTCTCTCAGTAATAAACATTAAAAAAAAATTGAGAGAAAAAAAGTGTAACTAGCAGTAACTCAAAAATACATTAGTCTCACGGTATTTATGGGTTCACGTTTCACAGGGAACCTGTGGGCACCGGAAGTAATGGGTGTTTGTTGTAAAAGACCGAGTAGCAGCTGCCTGAGTCTGGCGGTTCTGATTTCTCTTCTGCCGCTCGGAGATGGCATCCCTCAGCAATGCACCCCTTCCGGTGTTGTCTTTACCTGGTACACACTGGTTGATTCTTCTTCTTTCTCGGTTCAAATTCCAGAATAGCATTACCATCACTAAGGAATGGGAGTGGTTTTCTAAGCCAGGCCTCCAGGCTCAGGGAGAGCAATCTTTCTGAGGTGGGGATATTGCTGTGGGCAGGGCAGTTTCTCTTGAGGAGGAGATGTTGAAAGTGCCATAATTGTTCTGCTGGGAGATTGCGCAGAACGCCAACCCAGGCCACCATGTTTAGGGCATTTTGCCGATTGGACGTGACAAACAGGTAGTAGTAGCAAGTACTTAGTGATTGGCCTTGTCTGGTATAGTCAGAGTAGAAAACTGATCTTACCCAGAGTTGAAGTCGCTGTTGCGATTAGCCACGGTTACAAGAGTAAGTCATTCTGTGGGCAGAAGCTGTGGCTGATTTGTGGCTGTCTCTAGAAGTCCCGAGTGTTTGAAGTCAGTGGCATGTGTGGTTAATTACTAAATAAGCAGATTTCGAGATGCCTTCAAATGAAGGAACACTTAACCTTTACACTTGGAGCTGCTTTCCTTTGCCCCCTACTATTAACCAACGTCAGGACATTTTTACAAAGGAGAAATCTGAGTTTGGTGCCAATGAGAACTTGAGGGTGCTTTGTGCCTGTCCCTCTAGGAATCAGCCAGAGACCCCTACAACCAGCTGGTGCCTGATACCACTGTGGAAGTGGGATTTAGGTTGTGGATCCTCCGGTTACTCTGTGTATGTCTGTCCTAATGGAAACTTCCGTTCATCCGTCCACAGTCTTAAACTCTTTTTGTTCATATGCCAAAAAAGCTTTAAAAATTTATTTACGTAATTCTGTACGCCCATCATGGGGCTTGAACCCATGACCCCAAGATCAAGAGTCACATGCTCTTCTGGCTGAGCCAGCCAGGAGCCCCCTCCAAATCTGGGATATTATTCAGCCTTTTTGTTACTATTATCTATTCATTTACATAGTCTAATTCTTTGAGTCCCTCTTTGTTTCCCTTATTTTGATCTAATTTGGAAATTTAAGAAGCATTTCCTGTTGAACTTTCCCCTTAGAACAGTGTTTTTCTAGAGTACCTGATTAAATTAATAGGTGAAAATAATTAGAATTTTTTTTTCTCTTAATATCACTGGGAGTTTGGCAAAGGAAACAGGTGCAGTAATGATCAAACTTAAAATAATTTACGCTGTCATTAGTTTACCTTTGTTTTTAGACACAATGAATACTATCTACTTTCATTTCACGGAAAACATTTTTAATGTGAGTACTGTTAGTAATCAGATTTCTTCACTGAATGTCATTGCATCAGACTATTCAATAACTAAAAATACATGGAGACTATACGTTTTTGAACAAGCAGAAATCTAGGGTACATTTTTTTCCACTTTACGTAGTATCCCTCACTTTTCACTTTTGGGCCCCAAACTAATGGCTTACATGTTAGTGTACTGAATGGCTTATGACTTAGATTTATATTATCTTTCACTGTATACAGCCATTGACTGGAAATATCCAAAGGTAAAACTGTTATGCCATTTCTAACTTGAAAGTAAAGAATATATCTACTTTTGTAAAGGTCACAGAATGTAGATTTTTTAAATGTATTATACATACCGAGTTATAAATGCTATTCTATTTAAATTACTTAAGTAAAGGTATATATATGTCTGTTTTGCACTAAATAGTACCTTATACATTCAACCATTTTTATATCGCAGTAGTTCAGTCTTATGTTAAAAAATGATAGGAAAAGTTTTTCTTGGATGTATTTTAAAATTTGCTTTTTGCTTAAGTTTAATTTTGCTCAATAAGCTCATCATCTCACCATCCCACATGAGACCAAGTCCTCTCTTCAGTTCGGAATAGCTTAAATTTTGGTGCACATTTTTGCTATTTTCAGAAACCAAGTTGAAGTAGCCTTATATCAAAGGTAGCCTTATGTGGAGAGCCTTATTGCAAAGATTTTAGAGTATTTAATTTCTAGTATTTTTTCTAGAATTCAGAATCTTGGGTATTTCTGGACATACAAGAACTTTGAAAAGAGTTCCGTATTTCGTTATGGGTAAAATATGTTAAGTACATTGAGAATGTCTTTACACTTTCTGACATTTGTATTTATGTTAATTAAGTAAAGTTATACCTCAGTTTTTTGTTGAATTTTGTACTGTCATATGATAAAGTTCACCAGTGGATAAATTGCTGTGTATGTGTGTGATAAAGATACTTGCCTTAAAATAGAGCACTTCTGTTTTGCAAACAGCTGTGGTCGAATTGTCTTTCCAGTTACTCATCTTTCTGTGCACCTGGTGACTGCAGGCCTGATAAAGTCCATGGAGGTAAGAAAGAAGATGAACATCTTTTCATTGTTAGCAATCTAAACCTAGATTAAAAAGCATTTTGACATGTCAAGATTTTTATGGGAAACATTAATGTGTGTGTGTGGGGGGGTAGCATTCACTGCTAAAGATAGCAAGTGGTTGAATAGATTAAATATGTATTGGTTTTAACCATTATTTCTTATTGACCTTATTCTCAATGGGAATAGTGATTCAAATGTTTGTATGGCCAGTTCTATTACTTCCACTGTGTATTCATGACTAGTGCTGATTGTCATTATTATTGGCCATTGCATAAATCATGGAGGAATCAGATGTACTGTATCAAACAAGAGGGAAGGTAATTTGGATAGTAAAGACTGTATTATATATAGTTTTGGATTTCAGGTAATCATTTTATTATTTGGTAGCTCTCTTAGGAATGATGGTTTAAATGGACATAGTTTCTATCTAATAAAACGATTGCTAAAATCAGCTCAATTTATGTGGCCCAATTTTGTTGTTTTCTACTTTAATATGGGATTAGTAAAATGTGCAACCATATGGGTCATAGCTTTTCTTACTCGGCTGTGCAACTTATGTATTTATGTTAGATCTTAAAGAGTACCTGAAATGTGCATCAAATATTTAATTAATTAATGGTTGAAGCTTTTTAGCATCTTTAATCCTTAAGGAAGTATTTTATAAAAAAAAAAAATTAGCTTTGTTACGATATCATTATGTTGTATGTACATCTGAAAATAATCTGTACAGCCTGAACATTGAAATAGTTAATAAATTTTGACTTTGAGAACCACCCACCGCTGCTAAGTACATGTCACTGTCTGTCGAGTTGACTTCAGTAACTAGTGTAATTCATTCTTGGTGGACTATCTCCCTTTTGTCCCGAACCAAAACTTCACTTTGCAATAAACGAATGGTGGTTGAAGCACAAAAGATGTCTCCTGGCTGTGACAGTGTCTCTGACGGTCACGTGGCTTTGAATCAATCCTTTGATCTTTCTCTGACCTGCTTTCACATTTTCTTTGTCTCCCTTTTAACAACTCCTCTTCTCTGTGCTGAGAACACGAATCATCTACGTGAGGTAAGTTCCCAGGCTGTGATGACAGGTGCCCATAGGCACGTAGCATGTGTGGAGCTGAATCAGAAATTTTGGAGTTTGTACCTTCTAGACGCTACGCTTATTTGTAGTATCTTCTCAGTGACACAGATGCCTGCCAGACCCTTTCAGTTTTCGTAGTGAAAAGGCTGCACGACCCTCTCCCCGCCTTTATCCCGCGTGTCTCTCTCTTCTGCATGATCCCTGCCCACACGCCCACCCCCCACTCCCCGGACCGCCTGGAGAAAGGGAGTTTAGATTAGACACTCTTGTACTCCAGCAGCCCCTTGATTTGATGGTACGGCAGCCCCACTGCCAGAAGCCCCTTGCTCTGAGGCGGCCAACAGCATGGCAGAGTCCTCAGCAGAGGCCAGCGATGGCTCAGGCAGGCATTTCCCGAGAGCAGAGGCTCCGCTTGTCCTGATTGTCTCAGCAGGCCTTGGAAATGGGCTTAATTGTGGAAAGCACCCCTCCAGGAGTAGATGCAGGGACTGCTGAGGACAGAGAAGTAGGTACCTTCCTGGATAGCTGTCGAGTTCAGGCTCAACACGTTCCCCCCAGGGTCCCTGCTGACTGAGGTGGGAAAACAGTCTAGTCGGCCCAAGCGCTGAGGTGGGGTTTTCGTTTATTGCTATGAAAGTTATTGTTTCAGGAGCTGGGCATAAAGCTACAAAAACAGTGGGGACCACAAGGAATTTGTGATAATTGCATTTACGATAGGAATCCATTCGTCAGGTAACACTTAATGTGCTGTTAATCAGAATGATGGCTTCTAAGCCACGGGGTTTGCTTCTCAACTGAGTTTTTCTTTATGTTTTATTTTTGGAACTAATCAGGTTTTTGTTTTCTTTTAGGGAAAAACAATAGCAAATGTCAGACTGAACATTGTATGGTTGGATTATTTTTCACATATTTAAAAGAATTACCAGCCAGTGTGCATGGTTGAAATTTTTGGTGGCTGAGAAGATAATTAATGTTTTGGTTAAGAAAAGGGGGGGGCATTTTTGGAAGGACCCCCCCCCCCCACCTCCTTAGTGTCTTGCGTTGACAAGGCAAGAGAGATATCCCTCAGAAGCTCCATCATCTCCATCGTGTATAACTCTTAGGTAGGTTCTGTGAATGTACCTCTCTGCCTGTGTTCGGCTGCGAATACAGCAAGGTTCTGACGGATATTTGGCCAAAAATGGGTTTTGGCACTCAGCTAGTAGAGCAATGTAACCTTTTCAAGGCCAAGGAATTTGTGTGCGTGTGGGTGGTCCTTCTGTGTGCTGAAAATGTTGAAATAAGTGTTTCCACGCTGCTCAGTTCTGAATTTGTGGTGCTTGAGGCAGGGGTCTTAAGGAGCCAGAGGCATCTGAGGAGAAAGGAGCTTGACTGCTTAGGCAGCGAATTCTTTTTTTATTGGAGCTATGTAGGAGAGATTGGACACATCTTAAAAATTAACTGATTTTCAAAAATGTGTGAACGTAGTGGGCCGCCTGGGTGGCTCAGTTGGTTAAGCGTCCGACTTCGGCTCAGGTCATGATCTCGCAGTTCGTGAGTTCAAGCCGCGCGTCGGGCTCTGTGCTGACAGCTCAGAGCCTGGAGCCTGCTTCGGATTCTGTGTCTCCCTCTCTCTCTGACCCTCCCCTGCTCATGCTTTGTCTCTCTCTGTCTCAAAAATAAATAAGACGTTACAACAAAAATTTTTTATAAGTGTGTGAGAGTAGTATAATACACACACTAGAAAACATAGGAAACCAGAAGAGAAAAAAAAATAACTACATACTTCCCCATCAGTGTTACAAGTTACTGTCCTCACCTGGCTTTATGTATACCTTTTATTGCCTCATATCTGTCTGTGGTGGGCCCTACGCATGCGTGTGGAAGACACGCTTCCTATTCTTGATGAACTCCCAGTGGATAAACAGACCAGTAAGAAAACATGAAAGGGCATTAGGGGTAAAGTTTATGAAATGACTGCTGTGGATCCCGGAAGACAGTCACCTCATTCAGCTCAGGAGTCAAGGAAGGCTTCCTGGAGGAAGTGATTCTGAAATTCAGTTCAGGGAGACAGGCTCTTAAGGATTTGCAACATGTGCAGGGTTCAGCATGCAGCAGGAGAACGTGACTTATTCTGGCAACTGCACTTGGCCGGCAAGTGCACAGAGAAGAGTGTTGGAGGGTGGGGTGCTAGTGAGTGGGCAGAGGCCAGATTAGGCAAGGCCACATGTGCCAGCCTAGGAGATGGGCTTGACCCTGCAGGGAGGGAGCCGCCAAAGGACATAAACCAGGAGAATGGCATGGCAAGGTTTGTCCTTAGGGAGGATCACTCTTTTTCAAGATTGTTTTTGTTGTTGTTGTTGTTGTTGTTGTTGTTGTTGTTGTTGTTGTGTTTTGTTTTGAGAGAGAGAGAGAGAGCGCGCGCACACATGTGCAAGTGAGCACAAGTGGGGGAAGGGCAAAGGCAGAAGGAGAGAGAATCTTAAGCTGGCTCCACACCCAGCCCAGGGACCCACCTGGGGCTTGATCCCACGACTGTGAGATCATGACCTGGGCGGAAATCAAGAGTCAGATACTTAACGGACTGAGCCTCCCAGGCGCACCAAGGAGGGTCACTGTTTGAGCTAAGTCAAGGGTGGAGTGGGACCAACTCATCACCCAGATAGGAAGAAGCGAGATAAGAGAGGATCCAGTAGCAGAGACAAGAGACAGGGAGAGAGTGGGAGTTAACTCCATTTTGGACGTGAAATCTGAGGAGGCTGGGCAGCATCCAAATGCTAGTGACTCTGCCTGAAGCCCTGGGGAGAGGTCTAATCTAGAGTCATCCAAGCGGTCAGGATTTGGGAATCCTTGGCACATAGATGAAAATAGAAGCTAGTCTGGAATAGGATAAGAAAGAAATTCCTCTGAAAGGGAGTATTGAGGGAATAGAGGAGGCAACCTGCATTCACCTCCAGGAGACTAGCAAATGAGGCCAGAGGAGGAGGGGAGGGTGAGGGGCCCTGCAATGTCGAGTGCCTCCCAACAGTCAGGAGAGCGCAAGACTGGGAAGCGATCATTGGACTCAGCCACTGGGAGCTCTAGTTAAATTTCGGCTGAAATTTAAACCTAGCTCTTCGATGGCTGAATCTTCACCCTGGGCGGACTGCCCCGTGGAAGAGAGGGAATCTGTGGTCAAAACTGACCAGCAGCCTGGGTTCGTGTGAGTGGTGCTGGCCTGGAAGCCCGGTCGGGTTTTGCCCCGAGCACCACTGTTGGCTCGCTGTGAGTAGCTGCTTCTACCGCGGCAGCTGTGTCCCACTGGCCCAGAACGTGAAATCGAGAGCAGAAAGTTCAGGTCACGTTGCATACAAGGTGGACGTAGCTGAGCGTCACTCCAGGCCGTCCGGCCGCCTGGCAGATCTTTGATTCCAGGTTGCCATTTGCTGGAGTGTAACCTCTTCCAAGGATGTTAAGAAGCAGGGTTGGAACATCATTCTCAAGCACCTGGGAGATGCGGAGGAGAGCTCCCTGGGGCCTGCCAGGAACAGTGTTCCACAGTGTGAACAGCTGGAATCCCAGTAGCTTTTTCAGTTAAAAACCAGGAGCAGTTACACAAGATAGCGTTTTTACTGCAAATGATGTAGCTGAAATGAAGTGTATTCTTAATCACATTTAGGCTCAGGGAATATGATACTGTAATGAGCTTCAGCTTTGTCCAAAAAGGACTGTTATTACTAATAATCATTAATCATTATGGCCCATAAAATCTGATACAGAAGAATAGGAGAATTAAAGGAGAAAAAAAGTGACAGTATCATGTGGAAGAGTGTCATTTAGTCATTTACAGCTTCCTGCAGGGTAGTTTTAATTTTTAATTAATGTTCTTCATTTATGGAAGTTCTGTTGCTGGCCCACTAGTGGAGGCACCCTGAGCTTTGACTAATAATTTTTTAAAGGATTTTCTATTTTTTTAATGTTTATTTTTGAGAGAGAGAGAGAGACGGAGACAGAGAGAGGGAGACAGAGGATCTGAAGCAGCCTCCGAGATGTGAACATAGAGACTGATACAGGGCTCAAACCCACGAACCCATGAGATTATGACCTGAGCCGAAATCAGGGGCTGGCCACTCAACCGACTGAGCCACCCAGGCACCCCTTTTACAAATAATTTTTAAAAACACATTTGCAGGGAAACCTGACTGGCTCAGTTGGTAGAGCACATGACTCGATCTCAGGTTTGTAAGTTCAAGCCCCACGTTGAGTATAGAGTTTATTTAAAAACAAAACAAAACAGGGGCACCTGGGTGGCTCAGTTGGTTGGGCATCCAACTTGGGCTCAGGTCGTGATCTTGTGGTTCATGAGTTCAAGCCCCGCATCGGGCTCTGTGCTGACAGCTCAGAGCCCGGAGCCTGCTTTGGAATCTGTGACTCCCCCTCTCTCTCTGTTATCTCCCCAGCTCATGCTCTGTCTCTGTCTCTCAAAAAATAAGTAAGTGTTAAAAAAAGTTAATAAAAACAAAACCAAACCATATTTTCAGTGACTCATTATGTCTCTTGTTTGTCCCGCTTCTCATCAAAAGGAAACATTTATTTTTAAAACTCTTTATTATTTTTTAAGTTGCATAAAAATTAAAACAAATTTAAATAATATAAGAATATATAGAATGAAGACCAAAAGTTTTCTCCATTCTAAGTTGAACCCAACAGGAGTGCTTGGGTGGCTCAGTCAGTTGAGCATCCGACTTCGGCTCACAGTTCATGAGTTCAAGCCCCGCGTCAGTCTCTGTGCTGACAGCTCAGAGCCTGGAGCCTGCTTTGGATTCTGTGTCTCTCTCTCTCTGCCCCTCCCCCGCTTGTGCTCTGTCTCTTTCTCTCTCTCTAAAATAAATAGACATTAAAAATTTTTTTTTTAAATAAATAAATTGACACCCACTGGTAGTGTTTCTTGTGTAATATTTTAGACCTTTTTCTATAATAGCATGTATGTATTTAGCTACTATTAAATTAAGAATGCATAGTAACAGTAGCCAGAAAGGTAGAAATAACTCATGTCCATTAACAGATGAATGGACAGACGAGATGTTGGGGGTACACACATGCATACACGCACACACACATGCACACACACAAAGGAACAATACTCAGCCTTAGAAACGAATGAGTTTCTCATACATGCT